TGGTGCTCCCCTTGGGAAATCCATCACAGGCTCTTATCTTGCGTTTAGTCTGCATTGTTAGGGAGGTAGGGACTTGTCCTTGCTGCTTAGGGGGTCGCAAAACCCCAGCACATGAAGTTCTGGTGGATGACTGGTAGCCTGATGAGCAAGACTTAGAATATTGACCCATGAACATTTGCCAGAATAGAAGAATAAACTGCATTTTGTGTCAGGCCCTGCTGCATTTTACTCTCTGAACACATATAACAAAGGATTTGCCTTTGTCCCTTTTGTGACTCTGCTCCTGCTGTACAGTGTTGCAAATCAAAGCTTAATCTGACCATGCACAGTGAAGGTTCTTAGTTTTTATAGACTCATAGAATGCTTTGGGTTGGAAAACACCTTAAAGATCATCTTGATCCAACACCCTGCCCTGGGCAGGGACACCTTCCATTAGACGAGGTTACTTCAATCCCTTAAATCTCCAAAGCCCCTGGAGGCAGCTGGCTTCTTCACCTGAACGTGATTACAGAGAAGAAACTCTACTGGAGGAATGAGATTTCTTTCATTACCCTAATGGTTTCTATCACAGCTGGGTATCTAAGCATCTGTGGGATGCTTAGATCCTTGAGACAAACTTCTTAGAAATGATTTAGACAAACAAATGAATTAAACAGAATTCAGAATGACAGTTCCCAACTCTTGGGCATCTGCCAAGGAACTTTCAAAAGCCAAAATAATAACTCAGATCTGAGAGATCCTGCAAAGCCTATAAATTAAGTAATCCTTTGGAAACCTGCAGCTAAAGCTGCCATAGGGTTGAGATTTGCCTGTATTTAATCCAAGTAAGGAGTTTCAAATTTAATTGTTCACAGGATGTTGAGGCTTTGGATTTTTATTTTTTTTTTAATCTATTAAGTAAAGGAATAAACTGGAACCCTTGAGAATGTGTTGTATGTGAATCCTCTTGGGACAGGAAGGCTCCAGAAAGGACTCATTCAGGCAATGGAAATGGAAATCAAGACGAAAAAATCAAGGATTACTGATTAATGTAAGAAAGGAAAAGAGATTGTACTCTGAGAAGCACTGACTACTGGGAGGGCAAATTGCACAAATGCCATGAAACATTGCTTGGAGTTTTTTATTCCCACGAGGATTTTGAACTCATGTGATCAGCATCACTTTTAGGGACCTTTTCCAATCAAAAATATGAAGAGGAGTAACCAGCGTTAAAAAATAAAAATAACCATTCACAACAAATGATTTCCAAACACAAACCATGTGCCTCTGACACACAATTTTAACCGAAGTGTGGCTGTTGGTAAGGCCAACCCACAGGCTAATGGCTAGTTTGGTGCTTAAAGCTACTTTTAAATCATAGAACCACAGAATGGTTTGGATTGGAAGAGATCTTAAAACTCATTCCAGTCCCCTGCCATGGGCATAGGCACCTTCCAACAGACCAGGTTGCTCCAAGATCTTTCCCACCTGGCCCTGAATACTTCCAGGGATGGATAACTCATGACTAACTTCAGCCATTGAAATGGCCCTAAGCAGAAACAGCCCTGATGGCAATTTGTACAAGCAGGAAAATCTCCTGACCTGAAGAAGAGCTATCAAGCCATAATGATGCTTTAAATCACCCTCATATGGACAGATGTTCAAAAACAAAGCATTGAAGGGTCATATCAGGGCTCTCAGATAAACACAGACCTCTGCTAAATATTGGGAGGGTGGCGGATGGAAAACCTGAATGTTCATTCAGAATGGGACACAGAGATCCATAGTTTACCCAGTCAGTCTGTGATAACAAAGGAAGGAAACTGAGAGTGTCACCAGTGGTGAAGCAGAGCCTGAATGGAATAGTCAAAAACAGAAACAAAGAGGTGATAAGTCTCTGGGGTGGAAAAATACTGGAAACAAATATCAAGGAAAATATTGGGAAGGGGAAAGATAAAGTGAACAAAGTGATGAGATTGAATTCATGAACATGTTTGACCTCCCTTTGAATAATGTGTGGTCTTTGTTAGAGCTCGCTGTCGGGTTTCAGCACTCAGCTGAAGAATGAACTCATTGGCAATTCTGTATTTCAGCTGGAAGTTGAGGCTTGCTCCCACAGCAAGGTTCAGCTGCTGTTGGTCCTGTTAATTTCTCTTAATTAGTTCCAATTAGATTTTAGAAATTACCTAAAATAGAATTGAAAAATTCTCACTGAGCAACTTGTTCTAGAGCAATGTGTCCCTGTGAGAGGGGGTTGGAATAAGTTGATCTTTAAGGTCCCACCCAACCTAAGCCATTTTGTGATTCTACGATTCTCTCAAAGACAACACCAGAAATTTATGAGCCCACTTTAGGTGATTGAAGTGAGAGCTGATTGGGTCCTTTGTAGACTGCAGAATCATGTTTGCTTTGCTCAAAGAAAGCACATATGAAAAGGTGTGTGAGCAGCTGAGAGAACACGGGGCACCGTGAACCATGGATCTCTTTAGCTAATGCTCTTGTTCCCTGCATCCTGGGGAAAAACATCTATGGCAGAGTGGTGCAAAATCAGTTCCTGATACAGTTCTGAATCCTGAGAGCTGCTCTGCATGTGAACACTTTCAATCAGGAGCAATCCAAATGCATAATGTTTTCTTCATAGTAAAACTGCCTCTACTTCACAGAGTGTAGTATATTCTGGAATATAGTCTCATTTGGAATAAACACATCCACAAATTTGTACCAATTTGGCTAATTTTGTTCTACTTGGGTTAAGTTTTGGATGAGGCAACAGTTCCATAAGGAGTGATCTGGGCTGAGCATTCAAAAAGCCTTGAAGAGAAAGTGCCTCGGAGCCAGCAGTTTCCTGTCTGCTTTTGAAATGAATACTCTAATGGAGGGGATTTCTGTGTTTTGATCATCTTTTGCCTCTGCCAGCAAATTACTTGGAACCCCTGAAGCTTTGCTGCACAGCGGAGCTGCCCTTCCCAGCAGGGTGCAGTTCAGAACCCACCCAGGGAATGGAGCTCCAGCGAGTGGCAGTGGGAAATGTTTGACTCCACAGAACCGCGGGTTTAGTTTTTTCCTCTTTTTTTCCATAGTTCTGGTTTATTGTTGCTACTTTGCAGTAAACTTAGTGCCCTTCACTGCAAGAATTTTTTCTCTTCCCTCCTAAGAGGAAGGAGATGCCATTGCTGGCACGCTGCATTTGTGCACATTTTTAGCTCTGTCCTTCAGAGAATCCTCTTCATCACTGAACAGTGAGAGCAGGAGAGGTGGGACACAACCAGTCCAGCTCTCTGTGAGAGGAATTTTGCTGTTTGGCTGGGTGGATTTTCTAACACAAGCAAGAAACCTCAGACCAGCCTACTCCCAGGCTTCTGCAGGCTGGGTGATATCATGCAGGAATGAGGAGGTATGATTCATCACCCAGACAAAGTCAGCCTGTGTAGCCTCTGTTGGTGAAGGCAGACTCTTGTGAGGAACAAAGAGCAGGGAAAGCTCTGCTGGTATTGGCTGCAGCTGGACCTCCCCTCTGCAGGCACCTTTCTAGCAGAGCAAACCAAGAGTATTGTGTTTCAGGTTTGTGACACAGCATGTAGAGTGTACGCATGCTGCTATACCCAAAGCTGCAGGACACCTCAGAGTCACAGCTGTGACCCCTGTCCCAGACCAAAGCCCAGAAAATGGGCACAGCAAAGAGCCAGTCACACAAACCTTCCTGTGTCACGAGCAAAGAGCATTCACAGCAAATGGCACATAAATCAAACTTGCAGAAACCAGGCAGTGGGAAGGTGCTCAATGGAACTGGACTTTTTAAACAATGAATCCTTTGTTAGGTCTTTCTTTTTTAAGTGGGAAATTCTGGCCCAGCCCTTTCCAGGAAGAAAAGGAAATTTTACAGATATTTGGAGATTTTTTTTCTCAGCTTCTGGGGGACATGCTTTGCAGCTCTGCTGACCACCTACCCTACCTGCAACCCACCACTCTGTGCCTGCAAACCATCCCATTAAACACTCACTGGCAGCATGGACATCTCCATGGTGCTTCAAGAGTCACTGATCCAGCTGTACCACCAGGAAACTGAGATCCTCTGCAGGGCCAGGTGCTGCTCCAGAGACCCCTGCAAGGACACAGTAATCTTGGGGTACAATGGCCATGAAGATGCTCTGAGGGCTGGAGCACCTCTGCTGTGGGGACAGACAGAGACACCTGGGAGCATTCAGCCTGGAGAAGAAAAGGTTCTGGGGATAACTGAGGGCCTCTTCCAGCGCCTAAAGGGGCTCCAGGAGAGCTGGAGAGGGACCCGGAACATGGAGAGACAGAACAAGGGGGAATGGCTTCAAACTGACAGAGGGCAGGAGTAGGTTGGATATTAGGAAGAAATTCCTCCCTGTGAGGGTGGTGAGGCCCTGGCACAGGGTGCCCAGAGAAGCTGTGGCTGCCCCATCCCTGGAAGTGTCCAAGGCGAGGTTGGATGGGACTTGAAGCAAACTGGGATAGTGGAAGGTGTCCCTGCCCACAGCAGGCGGCTGGATTGAGATGACATTTCAAGTCCATCCCAAACGAAACCACTCTGTGATTTTTTTCCTGGAAGTTTATCTTTTGCCCAAGTGACGACCGTGAAAGATTCACAAAGCGCTTTAAACCAAATCTGATTGTTTCCTTGAACTTTTTTCTCATTCGGGAGACTTATTGTAATGAATAAAACAGTCACAACCAAACGTTTAGTGACCTATTGCATCATTTTCCTTGCACTGCAGAGGATGAAACCGCAGTGAGGGGGACTTTGACCAAAATCACACCAAACTTCACTTTTGCGTACTGGTACTATGCAAAAGTACTTTACTACTAGTAAAGGACTGCAACTTTACCAGGGCGAGTAATGGCTCCGAACCCCACTCATAAAAGCATCCACGGGGGAATCCGCGCTGTAGCTCCCCCAAGGCCAGTGGGAGCCGGTCCATCCCTCCTCCCCGGCCCGCCTTGAGGGCGGGCTGTGCCGGGAGGCGGGCTCGCTCCGTGCCGGCGCTGGGGCTCGCTCGGTGCCGGCGCTCGGAGTTGCCGCAGTCCGCGGGCAGGGAGCGCCCGCCGCCGCCGCTATGGCGCACTCGGTGGTCCTGCGTGGCCCTTCGCCGTGGGGCTTTCGTCTGGTGGGCGGTAAAGATTTCAGCGCCCCGCTGACCATCTCCAGGGTGAGCCCGCAGGGGAGCGGGGCGGCCGCAGGTGATGGGGGCGGGCGGGTGGTACCCGGAGCCGGGCGGGTGGCAGCGCTTGGGCTCTTTGCTGCTTTAAATTATTCTGTATGCACTCAAATAAGTGCTCCCCTCTGAGCTTTGCACTGTTTCAGCTGCTTTCCCCAGTGCTACAGCGTTCTCCGTGCTTTAGTTTTTTGGATGTTAATTCATAAGGATCTGCTTTCAAAGTTTTTAGTGTTCGCAGGGTTTGGATTCGTGCCCTGGACTGAGTTCACAGGCTGTTGGGGTTTTTCAAGAAGGCATGAGTTAAGTCAGCAAGAAGTTTCTCCATGCAGGCTGCAGCGTTCTGGGGTCTATGTGGGCTGGTAATAATTACTGTGTAAGTGTACTCACACTTATGTTTGACCTCACAAATATGTATTCTGGAAAATTCTTTGCTAAGACGCCCCAGATAGTTTGAAATAGGCTTTGTGTGTGGATACATGTGCAAACAAAGCATCCCCCGTGCAGGAAGGCTGGCGGCGCGGCGGTGTGATGGCTGGGTGATGGATGAGGTGCTGGGTGTGAGCTGGGCACGCTCCTTGGGGCACTGATGTGTCCGTGCCCTGCTCTGCCTGCCCGGCGTGTCGGGCTCTGCAGCACTGCCCAGCTCCCCTGGGCAGCTGCTGCTGCTGCTGCTGAATTTCTGGAACAAACATTGAGTGCATTTGAAAGGAGCTGTAACTTAAAAATACTGTTGTAATGCGCACAAGCTGTTTGCTGTCTTTTCATTCATCTGCCAAAGCTGTGACAGAAAAGAGAAACCACGAATCCTGAGCTTCAGAGAAATAATTATGGAAGAGAGCGTGTTTTGAAGAGGTTTAGTTTGTCTTTGAGTTCAAACATCTCTATTGCATGGCTTTGTTTCTGTTTCTACTTTGGCCTGTCCCTTTCCCAGTGCTCCAGCGAGGGCTGTTTTGGAGGAGAAGCAGGAGGAGAGGGAAGGTGGGGTGGTGCAGGTGGGGCTGGCTGTGCAGCACGGGGGGCTGTATTCCATACAGCTGGGGGAATGTGCTGTGAGAGGGGCACTCGGCTTTTGGGGTTCAGCCTGAACCTCCTGGACATGGAGAGTTCTATTTCTCCCCTGTTAACATGGCATGTATCAAAAATCTCTTCCCGGCAATTGTAGAAATGTTCTTGTTGTGGAAGTGAACATCTGAACTCAGTGGAGGGAGCCAGTTTTCCTGTTACTTTAAAAAAAACCCAACTGGTTTAATATTAAACAAGAAAAACCTAAGTCTGCTTCTGCCTAGATAGGTGGCTTGCCAAATTTCTTGTTTGATTCAGCAAACCTGGGAGGTGTCAGGAGGATGATTCTCAGGCCAGTCTTGCTGCGGATCACCAGGAGTTGTAATGCAAGAAGCAGATGTAGGGTGTTATGCCATTTGGCAGCCTTTTAAATTGGATCCTTTTTAAATTCTGTTCCCCCTGAGGAGTGGGCTGATGCTCTGATGTGCTGTACTCTTAACAGCTGCTCCCAGAGGGTGGGAAACAAATCACTAGAGTGTAAATCTAGATGTAGGGTGCTCTGCTTGGGCTCTAGTCTCTAAACACAAGAAAAGAGCTCACTTGCTCTGCAAACAGTACCTGAAAATGTTAAAGCTAGTGAAGAATTATCTTCTGCTGCAGCTCCTGGCTGTGGGGATGCAGGAAGGGGCTGCTGGAGGGCTCCCTGGGGAGCCTGGTCTTTTCTTGGTGGTGGCTCTGTGCAACCCTGCTACTGTGCAGAGCACTGATCATGGCTGTTGTGGTGCCATATTCCCTTTTATTCTGTAATTGTCCAGGAAATCTGTTCTTTTTGGCTTTAAATCTTGGCAAGGGGGCTGGGGGCTTCCCATCTCCAGGAATGAGAAGCCTCCATCCCCTTTGCCCAGCCTGGCTCATGGCAGGAGACTCTTGCTAATTGTGGAGACTTTTGGCTGACTTCTGCTTCCCTTCAAAGTGCCTTTCTTCTTTAGTTTCAGTTTTATTTGTTTTATACTAAAATGCCATTAAATTACAAACATCTTTGGAAAAGCAGAAACCCTGCTGGGAGGCAGGACCACACTCTGATTCCCACATCCAGCTGTGGGCCCAGGATGCCAATGTGTGCTGGGTGTGCTGGGCTGCCTGAGGGGTGTGGGATTGCTGTGTCCCACTGCTTGGCCAGAGGAGGCTGAGGATCAAGCTGTCACAAGGTGTTTGGGCTGTACAGCTCTGCAAGCATCCTACCTGGTTATGTTGGGAAATCAGGTGCAATTTGGGATTTCAGGCATCCAAGGCCACCCACATTCAGCTCTGGGTGCTGGAGGCTGGAAATAATGAAAGGAGCTGCCAGGGTGAGCTGAGAAAGAGGCACAGTAGTGTTAGGCAGGGGACAAAGCTGAAGGTGGTCCACAAAAGTATCTTGTGATAATATTGTCACGAGATAAAGGACAGTATAGGGGTTTGCTAGCATGGAACATGCCAATGACCCTGTCCTGCTTTGGGATGGAACTTGCCTCGCTCACAAGGGTTTACTTTGGCCTTTAGTCCCTGTGAGGTGGCAGTGGCTGTGCAGGTGCTGATGGTATTCAGTCTGTCCCTTGCAGCTGTCTCTAATAGGCTCAGGACATGAAGCAATGGTCTTTTTTTCTTGAAAGCAGGTCACTTCTCTCTGTGATTTGATAAGTCTTAAGTGACAAGGGGTAAGGATCTGATTGCTCTGCTGAGCAGCTGATGCTGAACTCTGCCCTGGAGAGGCCAGGGCTCCAGGTGGGGTGTTGTCTTCTTTGGCATTAAAGATAAATGCAAATCCAGAAAGGCATGCTTAGGGCATCTCTCTCATAGAGTCACATGAAAAGTTAGGTATGCTATAGCCACTCTTTTATCTTGTTTCTTCTTGTATATTCAGGAGGACTGATATTAGCAGGGCTGGAGTTTGCTGGGCTGGTTTGGGGGCATGCAGCCCTGAGGGTGAGACTGGTGTGTTGTCAGCACAGGGCACAGTTTGTTTTATAGCCACTGTTACAGTGAGCTAACACTAGGTGTAGGACATCACATCATTAATGGTTACTCCTCCTAATGATATTTATGGGGGTAGGAAATTATCCAAAAGATCTGCTTCAAGTTGACCTTAATGACTGGATAGAGAGTGGTTTTAAGATTTAATTAAATTTCTGGTAGCTGCTTTTCCTTGGTTGAGCAGGCTAATACAGGGTGCTGTGTTTGCCCTCTGTGGGAAAGGGGGTTCCCTGTGGCTCTGACTCCAGTGACAGCATTCCTTTTGACCAGCAGCCATGGCTCAGGAACAAGAATAGGATAACTCACTTGGCTGTTCTCAGTGTTGTGCTTGTAACCACATCAGTGAGTGCTGTGGTTCTGTGTGGGATCACAGTTGATCTATCCCCTTGCCTGGGATTAAAAGATAATCAGTCATTAGCGTAACTGGAGGAGCTGAATGCATTTAATCATTTGAACTTGCTTGTCCTGCTCCTGGAGCAGCTGATGTCATCATCTGCCCAGTTCTGCCAGTGTTAATCTATGCACTTGCTGTTTTTGAAATCATAGATAAATTACTTGGCTAAACAGATAATTGACAAATGGACCAATTCCAGTATTTTTAATGAGATTTTAACACAAGTTTTCCTTTATCTGCTGGCTTCAACATAAGTTTACCTGCTGGTCTCTAGAGGAGCAGCAAAAATGCAAGTTTCAGTTTTGGCTTGGAAATGTAACACAAGAAGGATGAGAAATAATTGGCCTGCAATCCATTATCCAGGTATTGTTTGAGTTAAGGTTGACTTTTAAACTTAAGCAGCTTTCACATTTGAGCAGAGACGTGTCCTGTTAAAGGTTAGGATACTCGAGAAAGAATTCTGCTGAGGAAGGAATTCCAGTAAAAGTGGTTTTGTTGACTCTGTCAGGGCAGCCAGCAAATGCCCAAGTCTGCTGTGATCCTGTGTGAATGCAGAGAGAACTCAGTGGTATAATACCTGGGAGGTTTGTTCTTGTGTGGGTGGGATGGCTGAGCAGAAGGGGCTCCCCAGGCCTGGCAGTAACAGGAACTCCACCTGTGTTGGTGTAGAAGGCAAGGATCAGAGACAGCAGCAAAAGGAACAGGAATTTTGTCTCTGTTTAAGACAAGTTAGGAGGATTTTGATTTCCTTAAGGTGGAGGGTTTTGTTTCATATAGTTCTTATGTATTTGATAGTTTATTAGATGGAAGTGATGCACTCTGTTCAGAGCTCCCAAATGGACTGAAGAAGCCTCTCTGTGTTGCTGAATCCCAAAGCTATGCCCCCCCCTGATTTCTGCTGACTTTTGTTGGGTTTGCTGCCTGTGTGGAGCTGAGTGATGAAAGCTGTCCCTCACTTTGTTGCATAGTAAAGTTGTTACAGTATTTCAAGTGGGATGATTATTTCAAGTGGAAGGAAATACTTTTGCTAGTCAGTTTTTGTTTTTCTCATCACTCCTATAAACTCAGGGCGAGAGGTTTGGGTGTTTAAGTGTGAAGCTGTGCTGGTACAGAACACTTAATCTGAGCTACAGATAAGAACTAACAGAAATATGTCACAAATATATTTGCTGCTGAAGTGTTTCTATCGCTGAGGCTTTGTTTAATAACTGAAAGAGAAGAATAAATGCTTGTGCTGGTTCAGGAGACAATGGTGGTGGAACATACTGGAATGAAAACCTAATACTAATTACCGTAATTAAGCACCCTGATAATCCTGAGTGGGAAAGCAGGTGGAAAGAATGATTCATGTAGATCCATGTAGGCAAGCTCTGACCTTGGGGCAAGTTAACAAAATAAACTCAGCACACCCGTGAAAACACCAGGCCTCTGCCAGGCTGGACAAAGCAGGGTCAGTGTCCCTGGGTATTTGGGATTAGGGATTTTCTTCCTTCTCCCTTCTTTTTGTTTCAAATGGTGGTGATGTCAGCTTCCCTTGAAGATTGAAAGATTGCCTGTTGGGACAGGTATTCAAAATTATTTC